CTCTCTCTCTCTCTCTCTCTCTCTCTCTCTCTCTCTCTCTCTCTCTCTCTCTCTCCCTCTCCCTCCTTATCCTCTTCAGACAGGCTCTGACATGATGGCTCATGCAGGGGAACATACCTGCAGCTCACGGCGCCCGTCAGTGCACTATGTGCCACCATATAGTTTGTGAACCAGGCAAGGGCCTGGAGATTGAAACACGCAAAGACTCAGAGACAGAGAGAGACACAGGTCATCCTTGATGCCAGAATGCCTCAAGAATGCCCCCTTTAGTGTGTTCAGGGGCAGCTTATATAGGGCTAGCCACGCCCCAGGCAAACCCACCAGAAACCACTCCCCTGCCATCAGGAACTCCTGAGGGGCTCGTGCTCAGAGCAGCTGTAGGCACTCAGATCAGGGGAAAACAAGTTGTTTACAAGAGATTCAGGATCTGGGGGTTCACTGCTCCCAACAACACCCTGGCCTAGATTCTCTCTTCATCCTGTTTGAACTCTGGCATCGGAATATTGGCTCACACCTGCTCTCAATCCACCTGCACAGACCTGGTAGGTTTAGGAGAGACTCATTCAGACCCAGAACGGGGAGGGAATAGAGGGTAGAAAGGGAAGGAGAATGAAATCTTGTGTATGACACAGTACACAGATTGGAAAATGATTTATTTTCAATAATAATCAGATCAGCTGCTTAAAGGGGACTGATGAAATGTGAATATCTCTTTTGATTTTTAGATTTTTTTTCACACGGTATATTCCGATAATGGTTTCCTCTTCCCAAACTCCTCCCAGATGCTACCCACCTCCCTGTCCCCTCACATCCACACCCTCTCTTGCTCTCTCTCATTAGAAGACAAGCAAGCGCCTGAAATTAATTAATTAATTAAGATAAAAGCAAACAATCCAGAATAGGACAAAACAAACGAGGGGGGGAGCTAAAGGAAAAGCACAGAGACACATACATCCACACACAGAAAGTTCATGCACATACATACACATACATCCACACACAGAGAAAT